AGGTTCTGCATCCTGTGGTAAAGAGGGGGAAAGTATCACATCTTTTTTTTTTTCCCCAGACAATTCTTTCTGTTAGAAGGAGAGTATTGGGTCACATTTTTGGACAGCGTGGCCTCCATAATGCTCCAAGCTATCTCTGAAATTCATAAAGAAGCAACTCTGCAATAAAGGCAAATGATCCATTACTCCCCCTTACTCTCCTTTGTGTAGTGTTTTAACTGATGAATAACGTCTGTCATAATCCTTTAACTCATGAATAACATCTGTCACAATCTTTTAACTCATGAATAACATCTGTCATAAGGGCCTTATTTAAAACTAAACACAAGATAATCTGCCACATACTTGCAGACCCAGACATTTATGAATAACTGCCTCTGAGCAGTTAAAAAAAGTTCTAGTACAGCTAAAGACATTTACATATGAATAAAAGTACCTTTTTAAATCATTGCATTGGTGTGCCAAATCCATTCAGCAAGGCAGCTATATTTAATAATGTGTTTAAAAACAGGTGGCAGGTTGGCATAATCTGATAGCTTTATGGTTTAGCTGATAAAGAACTCATGGTAGGCCTGGAGGATGGAAAACCTGAAAAGACTAGTGCCACAACCTTCATGTTGGATTGCAGCTTTAGGAATGCTCCATTCTCTGTATTCTGCCAGTTACTGTGAGGAAATATTTCCTTTTACTTAGCAAAAAATCGTTCTTAGAGTAATTTCCATTTAATGGAAGGTGGAAGGCTGCATTAGAATGTTTCTGAGGGGTGGATAATGAGATGTTTTGATGTGAGCACTGAGGCCCGTCTTCTTCTTTGAAGCATATATACAATATGCCTGAAAGAATCACATTGTATGATTGCATGTAATATATAGCTGTGACAAGACTTCAGAGCTAGAAATTCTGATCTTCCTTTATTTGATCAGAAGAGCGTAGATTAAGGTGTAAATTATGTGATAAGGAAAGACAGCATATTTTGATTCTTCATTTTCCTACGTGGAAGCAGAGACATCAAAAACGTCTTTGAGTGTGGACTCATCACATGCCAGCACGCTAAATGAAAAATAGGGTTGATAAATGACCTAGGTGTTACTGTGTGAAATAGTAGGTTTATATTTTACAACAAAGCAGGAATCAAGATAAAAAGAAAAAGGTTGTTTACTTGTTTCAGAGGGGTTTCTTTCCCAGCACGGAAGCTGATGGCAAGGGAACTCCTGTCTTTAACAAAATTTACTTGTCTGAACAACTCACTGTTCTGTATGATGCTCCACTGATGCTGTCTTTCCCATCTGCTTTGCTTCTCTGGGACTTGCCTCTTCAGAAACATGTCCTGGGGGCTGCCAGTCTCTATTCACTGAAATGCGCTAAAAATGACCCCGTTCCATTCATTGAACATCTCCTTTAATAAACATCAATTACATTTCTAAATGTTTTCTTGCCATTTTTCTACAAGGGAAGTACTATAAACATTAGCATCCTATTGAATGAGAATATTTTACAGAATTCTTTATCTTACGCAGCAGGTTGTTATTCTGCAAGTAAATCCCAATTCTGCTTTTCCAAATTAAGACCCATAAAGGGCATATGCTCTATTCTTTTTGTTGTTCTATGCAACAATAACAAAAATACAACACAGTACAATATGATACACTGATGAAGATAGTTCTCCTCAGTCCAGCCAAAACATTTTTTTCATACTGCAGGTTTATATGTCTGTCTGAACATTTCAGAAGACTTACACAAGAAAATATGTTTTCTCCAAGGTCAATTAAAAGTTCTGAATGACTTTAAAACCAGCATCCTGCACTGAATACACCTGAATGCTGATTTGTGTCCAGTGCAGTTAGGGCTGTGAACACTTCAAAAATAATTTGGAAGAAGTACTTTAGAGTTCATGTAAGCACCTCATCTCTTTCATATTCATTAAAGCAGAGCCTTTTTTTTCCCCCTGACTTCCTATTTCCACCAACTCTTTCTAAGTCTGGATAGAAACCTAAAAAAAGAAGGGCTGCCTTAAGGAATAGCAGAGAGATGGCACACTTGTGCAATGTCCAAGGTATTTCCAGATCATTTTCAATGCATACCTGACTTAGAATTCATGTAACCCTGATGCTATATGATTTGAATACCTTTCCATTACAAAATATTGCACCATCAGTCCAACCAAAGCCTTGAAATAATGTCCAAAGGCAGCCCGTCCAGACTGTTTGACAAATGAATCCCATTCTTGATTATATTTTTTATAGTGGCCCCAAAGCAAAAACTCAAACATTAGAAAAGAAATCTAAGTCAAAGAACTCATACCAGCCTATCCCAAGCTGGTACCTCCAAATGTATCCGGACTGAAACTCCCAGCATTTCTAAGCTATGTATTACCTTTAAGAAGACAACAAACACCTTCAGAGCCTTTAGAGCAACTAAACTTTCCATTCCCACCTTTTAACTTCTAGAAGATTATTTCCCAGTAACTCTCAAGGTCACTAGGAAAGAAAATACTTAATTGTAAGCATCTACAAGAAATATATGGATAAGATTATTATTATTATTGTTGGCCAGACTGTGAAAGCTGAATTCTATTAAGCCTGAGGTTTGCATGCTGTTATAAGACATTGATTAATATATCACCATCATACTGACCTCAGTTAAGTTGGAGCTAGTTTTGTGTTTTCTTAAAATTAATTTTTAAAAGGAAAAGCCAAAAGATGCACTATATTCTTTATTTATTTGAATTTATTATCCACCCTAGAACAGATCCTTTCTGAATGAATATTACATTTGAAACTTTGAAGGTACATAAAATTTAATCAGGAAAGCATGATAGATGGGCATAAATAATAATGTGTGTTGAGTAAAAAGAGAGTAGAAAAATTAAAGAGGATAACTTACCAATAATCTAATAGCAATGATATTACTATTGTGATAAGTAATAGCAATAGTATCATACATCTAGTATTTAAAAAATCTGAATAAACTGACTAGGAGGAACTGTTTTGCTTATATCTTGCTTGTAGGCTTTCAGTCACTAATTAGTGGGTCACAATGAGGAAAAACATAAAATACCCTTCAATATGAATTTGGTTCCTGTTGATTATTACTTTCTTGGCAATAATAATTTTTTGGCTGTTTTTTTCCCCCCCCTAAATACCCAGTCTAGCTTATAGCCTTCAGATTTCTTGATGAGGTCCCATCCAAGTACTAATCAGCTCTAACCCTGACTAGCTTTCTTGAAATCAGCCAAGGTTATTAGTTGCTTCTACCTGCTGTGTTATAAGGAGACTAGATGGATAGGTTTGATAAGATGTTGATCCTACCAAGCATCATGGCTGGTTGTACCATAATTTAGAAGGAGGCAGCCACTGTTGTCAGCAGTCATCAAGGGACTGGAAGCTGTACATGCACAAAGCCAGTCCTGTATCCTCAAGCAAGTATGATATCCATAGGTGAGTAGAAGATGAAGTTGAAGCAAGATATTTGGAATTGCTGTGTATGTGTATATGTGAGGAACAGCTGTTTGTCTTTTGTCCTGGACTGCAAAGTTTCTTGTGCCAGCCCTGTTTAGCTAGCTCTTTATGTTCTGTATGAACCATAAATAGGTCTATTTAATCCACCTGTGTTTCAAAAGCTATGCAAATGCTCTTGCAACTACTGGACATGAAGGCAACTACCCTCTCTTGCTTTTCTGCATCATTTAGTATGCAGAAGTCCACTAGTCTTGAACGTGGAATCTCCATTTAGCTTACGGTGATAAACAATTATTTGCTGAAATCCTACTGTATATTTTCTTGAACAACACCCTGGTAAGTCTGGCTTTGAAAGGTGGAATATGTTACATACATACATACATACATACATACATACATACATACCAGCTCTTTATAGACTTGGGGAGGGGGCATCTCTGTATACTCTCTGTAACCATGTGATACTTTGTTTCATTTGGTGAAGCTTAAGGAGAATTGGGCTTAGACAGGCAACTGTTAAGGATCACCATGTACGTTGCCTTGTGTTTGTTGATGAAAGATCTGGGATATAAATATAATAAATAAAATAACCCCCAGGTTCCTTTTACTTAATTATATGTTTATTTATATGGAAGCATTCTGAGCATGTGCCAGTACGCTGCATGTACCTCCTAAATAGTGGGTTGTGAGCAACTGTAGGCTGGCTTGCAAGGTTGTTTCTAGAGACTACAGTTTGCATTAAAAAAAAAAATGAACCACAAGGTGATTAGTTTGATCAGTGTGCCTGGTAAGGTATTTGGTGGAATTCTGATTGAAAGGGTACAGGAAGTGATGTTGAACAGTATTTGGGAAATGCAGTGCAGCTTTATGCCTGGTAGGGAGCTGCAGACAGATGTTTGGTCTTCAGTAACTAATTAAGAACTATATAAATGGAAAAAAGAAAAATTCGTGTACATTTTTTTGATTGAGAGGAAGTGTATGATATGACAACTAAGTCCGAATTATGGAGTGTTTTGTGTGAATATGGAGTTGAAGGTCAGTTGCTAAATATGCTGAGAAATATGCATATAATAAATGGAATACTTATTGAATGGTTCAACATTGAGCAGGGAGCTTGACAAGGATGCATGATGTGTTGTTTAACGTATTGATGGATAAATGTATAAGGAATGCTTGTGAGATTAGGGGTGTCTTGGCTGAGGATCTGAATGTTCATTTTTTTATGACAGGCTATTTTCCTTGCTAAAGTTGTTCTCAAATCATGGGCTCCTGTATTATATGTCTTTCCAGGGTTATAATGACGAAAATACGTGTCAAAGTGTCAGATTCAGAGGCGAGACAGCGCAGGTAGAGATTAGAAGCAGGCAGCCACACCCACGCGCGACTTCTCCACCTTCGCGGGTGCTGAATAGGAAAGCGCGTTTCGACGCAAAGAGCGCATGATCCTCCGAGCCAAGAAGGGCAAACCTTCCCTTTTGCCCAGGGCGCCTGCGCGGAGCTTCTGCACATGCGCAGCGGAGTCACCCAGCGGAAGCGGCGGAGGCTGGGCTCCCGAGCGGGGTTTGGAGAGATGCGAACTGCATCCGGAGCGCGACTTCGCCTATTGTCTGGGTTACGGAGTTGGCCTAGGGGACCGCGCAGCCTCGCGTTCAGCCCTAGCGCGGCTGCGGTCTGAAGGGAGCGAAGCTCCCTGCCGGGCACAGGCGGTTTTCTGTATGCCCGGGAGCAGCTGCTCGGATCCAGTGAGTAAGTCCAGCAGCGCCCCTGCAGGGACTCCTCCTTGTTCCCTTCCCTTCGCCCTAGCGAGCCGCCGTCCCTTCTGTGCTCTGGAAGCGCAGCCTTGCCATAGCCGGCAGGAAGGTTTCCCCGGCCGCTGACGCCTGCACCTTTTCGGCGTCCTCCTTCCCACCGCATTAAGCTCCGGTAGTGGATTGCGGGCGTCCCTTCTCCTTGTGCTGGCCATATGCAGAGGCACTTTTCTTGTGGCCTCCTCCGCCCTGTCAAGCTCTCCCCAAGGGGACGCATCCTTGTCTTTCCTGCCACCCACCCACCGTTTTCCTTCTAAAGCAGAAAGTGCGTTGCTATAATGGGTCTGAAGGGTGGTGTTTTTTTTTTTTAATGATTATCGTTTCCCTTCCCCTTTCAGACAGCCCCTAATAATCACAAGAAACACGCGCCTGTCTCCCTCTCTCTCTCTCTTCTTTTCCGCAGTGGATCGTAGCTCGAAGAGGAGGCAGGTGAAGCCTTTGGCAGCTTCCCTGCTGGAAGCTTTAGATTATGACAGTTCAGATGACAGTGACTTTAAGGTTGGAGATGCTTCAGGTAAATAAATGCTTCTCCTTCTCATGTTTAAAAGTAGTTTTAAGCTGATTCTCCCCCACCCCATCCATTTTTTTCTATCACTTTTAAAATAAAATGTTGTTTTTAAAATGCCTTAACTGTTCCTAGGAAAAGAACCATGGTGCCTAGATAATACATAAAACCACTGCCTTTTCCTTTAGAAATTACAACGTGGGGGTTCACATTTTGCACTAAACTGTAATGTGTCTTGTTTGGTTTGGGTTTAGCATGGTGTGACAACCAAGCCAATTGTGGTTTATTCATTAATCTATGGCTAAGTGCTGGCTGGATTTACACGTTGCACTGAGTCACAGTACATTTAAGAATGATTTATTGAATATGCCACTATTAGGTACATATATGTTACCACAGTTTACAAACCACAGTGGCTGGGTTTGCGCAATATACTGAACCAAAATCAAATAGGCCGCAGTGGATGAACACAGAATAACTTCTGTTTATTTATCTAATTTATATACTGCCCATCTCCCCCAGAGGGTGACTACCAAGGAGTACAAGGAGAATGACCATTGAAACAGGAAAGCAACATTCTGAGATTTATGAAAGTTTGAGGATGGAAGCAAAGTCAATTAATGAGAGATAAGGGGGAGGGGGGACTCCCATGCTTTCATCTGTCCCCTTCATCTGACTAAAAGGTGAGATGTAGTAAATCCCATTTTTCTTGCCACCAATTTTTTTACAATACTTTTCCAGACTTTTTTTTTTTTTTTGGTTTCTCGGGTTTCTTCTGTGTTTGTGAGTAATCAGTTTCCATGATTATTCTCACTCCTTCAGAGAATATATCCAAAATGTTCAACACATGAGCATTCTGGATAATCTCCTCTCACTGACATAGCTTTCACGATATTGGTTCCCTGCCTTCATTTGGTGTATAGCATAACCATTGCAGGAAGAAAGCTGGAGTTGTTATCCAGAGTGCTCCATGTTGAATAATACTGTAAAGGGGTTTATGCTCCATTATTTTCTCAGCCAGCTCCTTCATTGACTAAATGATGTTAGCCAGTTTCTATTATTTCCTCTAGCACTCTAGTATAATATTTACATAATTTGTAGTTGTTGTTAGACTATTTTTATATGTAGACTTCAGTCCCTGCTATCCATCTAGTTTTTGACATTTTGTTAAATCTTCAAAGAACCAAGAAGGCAAGGAATAATTGCTGGTGGGAATGTAGAAATGAAGCATCCCACATGGGAGTGCTTTGAAGGAACAGGACCTAGAACTGTACATTGGGTCTTTCAGAATGCGACCCAAAGCTGAATAGAATCTACAGACTTCCATCCGAACAATCACAAAATCCAGTTAAACTAGTTAAGCATGAGAAATGAAATACAGACGCCCTGTATAAAAATTGTTCTGCCTTGCACAGGTTAATATATCTTGTAAGAGCAGATTTGGCTATATACGATGCCAGAATCAGTTATGAATTATTCACTGCACTTTATGTATAAATGTATACTCAAAGGAAGTGTTTCCAACCATTTCCTATAGCTGTATTGGAACAACAGATTCATCAAAATAGCAAGAATGTTGAATCCAATAAGCCTTTTATTGACCATTAGGCAATTTAAAAAATCATTCTAGTGTGACAGATGCATGTAGTTTAAGCATTTCTGTCACTTTCTTTCAGTCTGAAAATATAATCAATTAATAATATAAATTTGGATTATTCCTATTTAAAGTAGACTTTTTGTTAGCTGTGTTTAATATTATAAGCTTATATGTTTTGGGTTTATAAAATGAGTGGAAGTCACTATGATTGTCACAATAAATAGGTTATATTTATTATTTCTTCTAACATTATGGCAAACTGCATATCATTACCATTAGTGAGAAGTTGTTGGAATATAACCAGGATAAGTAGGTTTAAAGAGACCTGTGGCACTTGCAGTGTTGAATTACAATTTCAGCATCCCCATTTATTGGGCACATTAGTTTGGATGCTGGGTATTGTAGTTCTGTGGCATTTAGAGGGGCAGAGTTTTCCCATCTCTGATATGTAACGTATAACAATAGCTGTAAAATTTATCAAAGTATACTTTATAATATGAAGCTAATTTAAATATGATCAATATCTTGGTAAATGATGTTTGTTTTCCTGTTAATATAAAGAAATGACCATTTCTAATTTGCTAGTTTGAAACAGTTTGGGGAACTGTAATGTAAAATGATTAATAAGTATCATGAATAATTAATATTCAAATTATTAATTGAAATTAATTATCTCTATTCTCATATTAAAATAAGTGAGTTTTATTTCTTGAGGAGACTATAATTCTAAAGAATGTAAACTTATAACATTTCAATTTGTCAACTCATTTTTTGGGGGGGGGATCAAAAGCTCATCTAGGCTATACCAGTGCTAAATAGTGGCTATGTACCCTCATGCAAAGTTGTCAGATATCTGGGTTATGGAATCTACGTTATCCTTTGCATCAGATTTCTCCAACCTGACATCCTCTACATGTATTGTGACTGTGACTCAGAATTTATGGCCAGTGTTGTCAACACCAACCAACATGGTATCGGAGCAAGGACTCCCCTGCCAAACGTAATCTGATTGAACATTCTGGAAGTTATAGTATCAATATGTTAGAGGATGTTAGGCTTTACTGGAATAATACCTTTGTAGAAATGTTACTGTCTAAAAAGTCTCTCAGGTATTTTGGGGATATCCTAGCGAGGAAAGTTCAAAATGTTTTTATTGCCTAAAATGTAAATATTACTTGTAAATACACCAGGAACAATTAATATATTGCCTGTAAGACATTAATGTTTATTACATTATTAATTTCACTGAAGTCAGAATAGATAAGCAGCCAGATTAGTGGCTACTTAAATAGCTATTTGTAGATTTGGGTACCTCTGCATGGTGAGCTATTGATTTTAGGTAATCTGCTGTGGGAGAAGTTTATTTTTGTTATACTGCCACTGCAAACCCATCTGAATGTACATGTTTACTTAGGCAAGTCAATTTGAAGCTTATTACATAACCATATCAGAGTTCATATAATAAGATATCACAATCCTCCTTTGTATCTTCAACAATAAGGCATTTTAGTACTGTAGCAACTTTACATTTGCATCTATTTTTTCAGTGCATGAATCAAAAATACCCATATTATCATAGAGATACCAAACGGCAACTTTCCTATCGAGATATTTTTTTTAAGCCAGTATGGCCATGCTAATGTGATAAGGTCCAGCTGGAGGGCACAAAGTTAGTAAAGGCAGTCATATTTTCATACATGTGTGGACAGCATGAAGACCCAAATCCCTATTCTTGAAACTTGCTGCATGACTTTGTACAAGCCGCTGTTAATTTAGTTTATAACATTTTTGTGAGGTAAATGACTAAATAATGCAAAATTTTAATGTAAATTCTATCTTGAGGACTTGATGAATGCTTTTCTAAACTTGTGACCTCTAAATGCATTAGATTACAACTCCCAGAATTCATAGTATTGGCTCTCCTGGTTAGAAATTATGGGAGTCGTAGTTGGAGATATCTGGAGATATCAGGTTGAAGAAGGTAGAATACCTACATTTCTCTTCTGTTTGTTTTTTAAACTTGACTAGTCTCCTACATTCTGTTGATCAAATGCTGTTATTTGAGTATGCCTTTTTATTTTTTATAAAATGACTGAAGTGTAGCACTTCTTTTTTCTCAAAGGTAGTTAGATAATATTGGGTTGTCATTTTAATGTGAAAAGATAATGGTCATTGAAGGTTGCAAGTGTTGATACATAAGAATGTTAAAGGTCATTCATCATTTTCAGTTCTTTAAAATGTTGAATGAAAATTCTAAAGCTTATAATATTGCAACAGTCTTCCTTGCAGTTCATGATGTGAAGCCTTGGTTTACATTTTACTGGAGACTTGAGATGAGACTACTTACAATAAGTGTCAGTATTTCAAACTAATTTATGCAATTTTAGACTGGTTAGGCAATCTGGGATTGAGACTGTTTTAGAGATTGGTCCTGAATTAAAATCAGGGTCTCCCTTTGTTTCGTGTCATTTGCATATAGGAAACTCTGTACATTATTACCTTTTGAACATTAATAATATAATCTTGGTGTTGTTTATTTATTTATTTATTTTTTGTTTGTTTGTTTATTTAATAGGCTGCTTAACTCCCAAACGTCTGTGGGCAACCTACAACCAAAAACCAACATATAAAAATACAACTAACCAGAAGAGCAAAATACCAAAATAAAACTAAAATAAAACAAGGCAAAACAAAGAAGGCACCACAATCACCCTGTTCCCCAGCAACTAAAAACTAAGATACAAAAATACAACTAACCAGAAGAGCAAAATACCCAAATCAAACCAACACAGATCAAACCACAATAAAACAAGGCAAAACAAAGAAGGCACCACAATCACCCTGTTCCCCAGCAACTAAAAACTAAGATACAAAAATACAACTAACCAGAAGAGCAAAATACCCAAATCAAACCAACACAGATCAAACCACAATAAAACAAGGCAAAACAAAGAAGGCACCACAATCACCCTGTTCCCCAGCAACTAAAAACTAAGATACAAAAATACAACTAACCAGAAGAGCAAAATACCCAAATCAAACCAACACAGATCAAACCACAATAAAACAAGGCAAAACAAAGAAGGCACCACAATCACCCTGTCCCCCAGCTTGGGAGAATAATCAGATCTTCAACAGTTTTATGAATGACGTAAGGGTGGGAATCACCCAAATCTCTATAGGGAGATTATTCCAGATCATTATGTCTTTTCATAAAATATAAAAGAGGGATATCTAAGAAGCCCAAGACTTTGCCATGCTTTTTCTCACCCATCTTCTGGTTTACTCTGAAATTCTGATTTGCCCCAAGAATAAATCCAATTGGCATTTTTCTTTTGAAAGGGATTGAAATAGTTTTCTTTATTGAAACCCCTTTTTTACCTGTTACAGAGACCCTAAAGGGCAGTCCAGTCAGTTTGCGCATGCATTATTAAGTGAGGGAACTCCTGCCAATTCGCTTTTCTTCAGATTGGAGGAATTGGTGTGTGGTAGGAGAGGATGAGTGACAAGGACTACAGCATGTACCACTCCATACATAACACATCTGTATACATACAATTAAATATTTCTAAAGATAATTGGTAATGAAATTATCATAGAGAATGTAAGAATATTATAGGCATTACTTAACCCTGAGCCAATATTAATATAAGTAACTCGACAGAAGCTGCATACTGTATTCTAGTTACACTTCTTATTACATAAATATTTTGAGCAATAATAGTATGGCATTTTTCACTTAACACACTAACATCCCTATACATTATAATGCATAGGCCTTGTGTTTGTAAGGTTCCTTGACATGCCAAATTATTTGCAAGTTATTTTTTTTCATTTTCAAAAGCAGGAAACATTCTGCAATGATACAGTGGGTAATAGGGACCACCTTTAACCAAAAAAGGCTTACCTACATCTAAGTTAAAGCTTTTTCATCTAAAATAATAAAGTCTCCTTTAAGTTGAGCTGCACTGCTCTGACCCTATGGACACAATGTATCATTTCCTTTGTAGCAATAGAAAGAGTTTTGCCACTGCTCCCTACAAGAAAGTTCTTTTTTCAACTTTCAGGAATCAGGAATACAGCCCTGGTATTCCCTGGAGGTCTCTCATCTAAACACTAACCTAGACTGCTATCTGCTGAGACTTTTTCAGTTACTGTGATGCATAAAAGTATATGTATGTAGTATAGGCATCTGTGAGTGTATATATAGACACACACTGGCATATATGTTTGTATGTGTGTATATACTTTCCACCTACATTTTAACAAGAATATTATCTTAGAAAATACATTGATACAGCTAATTTAATTTTACAGTTTCTTCTCAATTTCCATTCAGATTAGATTAAAACAAGGCATTAAATATTCCTGATAGAATTCATGTCTTCTCATCTAATTGTCCTGCTTGAGCTTGCCTTATTGGTGAATTAGTACTTGTTACCTCCTTCTCTTCCCTAGCTTCTGTGCATGGAAAAAAAATCAGGGCGAGGAGTCTTCTGTATTGCCCTGAACTTTTGGATTATTTAGAAACTATGCTTCCATCTCATGCTCCTGCTGCTTGGTTCAGAATGACATGTAGCTCCATTCTTCTCCCAGATGTTTGCATGTGCCAAAAGACATAGGAGGAAAGTTGTATCTCATATCATGCTGGACTTTGGAGCAGGCAGAAGCATGTGCAAAAGACTCTGACTGCTACTCAGGGCAGTATAAAAATCATCTTATGATTTAGTGCTAGACTTTGCACAAGGCATCAACAATTGAATATATGAGGTTTCTAATATAGTGCTAAATAGGAATATTCCAATTAAATGTGGAAGACAGATAATTATCAAAGAATTTCACTGCATTCAGTATTTATGCTCTGTTTTGTTTACTGCTTAGCTAAAGTGCCATATTCCAAAAAACAATGGCATATACATACTAGAATGAGGAAGCAATCTAGAGTTTTGGTTTTTTTTAATCAGATGTATATGAAGTTTAGAAAGAGATGGAAGTATAGATGGGGACCATCCTGTTGTAGTGCCATGTTGTCTTTCAAATGAGTATTTCCAAGGTTGTTTGACTTTCAGTACTATTATGCTCTGGTTGGCCTTTAGAAAAATTGAAGTCATTCAGATGACTCTGTGTTGGTTTTTGTTGCATATATAAGAGCCCCTTGAGAGCATTATAATTTTATCTGTTCTGTGTATCTGCATAAAAAAGGTACACATCTGGATACTTTTATATGGACTTATTAGTATGTTCCTCAAGTTTCCCAAGAGTTATGTTTTGAGTCTTTTTCAACCAAAAAGTATTCCCAAGTAGCCATGTTCATGTTAGGTTCTTTATACAAATGATATACCACAATAGTCCAGTTGTGTCCTGTTTGTTCTAAAACAACTAACTAAAGTTGCAGAGGCTAAAGTAGTGTTTAAAGATACCAAAATAAATCCTTAACAGTTTGCTTCATACCTTATTTTTTCTCATGATCCAAAAGGATCCTGATGGCACCTTTATAGAAAATAATGAAAGAAAACAATGTATACATTGAATAAAATAGATTTTTTAACAGTTAAATGCAGTTGCATCACATTTCTTGTTTAATTAACTGAAAATGTATAAAAAGTTTGAAACAACTATTTTAATCATTTCAAGAATTGTAATTGTTTTAGAAAGAATTACTGTTGTTTTTAACCTTGTGTGAAATGGCTTACTGATCTGTTTAAATCACCGATTTAGTTAGCATAGCAGAATTAAGTGAAACAGGTTGGGTGCTGAGCTGTATATCTAAACTTTTGGTTTCTAGCTCATGTCATACAATGAGATAGAGACACAGCTTCTTAGTATTCTAGCAAAAAAAAAAAAGCAATCTTCATCAGTAGGTTTTCATTATAAAAAAGCTATTTCAAGGGGAAAAAAATTGCCCAGATGAAAAATAGCTGGCTACTAAGGAAATAATATTTAATTTGACTAAGCAAATTGCCTCAAGCTTTTTTAAAAAAATCTTTTTCTTTTTGGTACATTTTGCTTTGGAATTCCCTTTTTAAATTTTCATATGCTCAACAGATTCTGAAGGCAGTGGACATGGCAGTGAAGATGGATCAAAGGATAGCGGAGAAGGTTCCTGTAGTGAATCAGAAGAAAATATATTGGAGGAAGAGCTGGCAGAAGAAGATGAAGAAGAAGGGAAAAAAACAGAAGAAGAACCTAAAAATTCAGGTGGAGAAGAGCTGCCAATAACAGAGAAAGATATTATTAAAAGTGAGAAAAAAGAGGAGGAAGAGGAGGAGGAGGATAGAGAAGGAGAAGAGAAGGCAAGAAAGAAAAAGGAGAAAGAAAAAGAGAGAGAGAAACCACATGAAGGAGATACTGGTGTTGATGAGCAAACAAATGAGCCCAAAAAGTGGAACTTGAGAAGAAATCGCCCTCTGTTAGATTTTGTATCCATGGAGGAACTAAATGATATAGATGACTATGACAGTGAAGATGACAATGATTGGCGCCCAACTGCAGGGAAAAAGAAAGGGAAAAACACATTACGCAGAGAAGGAAGTGATGGTGACAATGAGGATGATGAAGATGATGGGAGTGGAAGTGATGAGGATGACAATGAAGAGGAAGGCAATGATGATGAAGATAGCAGTGGTGCTAGTGATGGTGAATCCAAGAAGAAAAAAAACAAAGCCCTTAGCAGAAATAGTGTTGAGGAGGAGGAGCTGACAAATGACAGCCTGGCTCTTTCACAAAGCAAGAGCAATGAGGTAGAATAGCCAACTTTATATAATCCTCTGGTGAAAAATGGATCCTACTCTGCAGTGTGATTCTTTTGAAATTACTCTTTAAAGCTAGGCAAAATTATTGAATAGTAATTGTATTAAGAAGCCCTTGAATTGTGCTGAGTGCTCATTAAGATACTTTTGCTTCAGCTTTATTAAAATCCCATTAGAGTTTTGGATTTAGATTTTTGGTTTTACTGAATTTTGGATTCAGATTTGAGACTGTATTTCAAATTTAACTTCTAGTAAGAGCTTCCACCTTATACATCAAATGCAAAAAGGCCCATGAAAAGTAAGCGTGCACAATTTTGTAGGCAAGGTCTGTGGTGCTAAAAAGCAGTACATTCTCTGCTATTCCAGGAGCCAGGGACTTACGTTCAGTTAGAACATAAGTCTGTCTTGTGTATATTGAAACACAACAATGCATAATATTGTATAATTTTTAAAGTCATGAACTCTCAGAAGAAAAATTTAAAAAGGCTTGATATCAAGCTTTCATTTACATTCTTATGCTGAAACTTTAAGATGGCTTGCTTTACTATTATTTATTTTCTAGTCTTTAATGATCTTGTATGTAATTTTTTAGTAAGGTATATCAGCTTTTTTAAATGTTATGATTCAGGCTGTATTTGTTGACATTAAATTGGGCTTGGTTTTATTTTTTAGCAAGGAGGAAACATTTTTACCATTATTTTTGAAGTTTTAAACTTCACCCATTTATTTAACTGATGGGTCTAAAATTAATCCCACAACTTTTATTTGGCATGTGTTTTATTACACACTTAAATTCTCATTTGAAAAGATTTTAAGCTTTTAGATAACACGTATTAATTTCAGAATCTAAAATATAAGATGTTAAAACATCATGGAACCATTCTTTGCTATGTTAAAGTTATGGCCCAATTGTTAATATCTGTTGTGTTAATAAATAAACAGAGTAGCCCTGTATAACTTTGCTTGCAAATAATGGGACATCCCCTATTCTTGTTTAGAATTGTTATTTTAACCATACTGCAGTATAGCATCAAATTTTCAGTGGATTATGATAACCTGCTGATAATAAAAAAGACAGCAGACTGTTAGCCACCACCCAAAGTCATGTACGTGCGATGGGCAGCCATATAAAAAAATAGGACTAATGCTTTGCTTATTTATTTAAGTAACTCTTAAAATTACCTGCAGCTAATGAAGGCTATTGGGACCTTGTTTAGGGTAAGTGGGACTTAATTTCAGATGTATCAGATCTGCACCAAGCACATTCACGTTTTGGCATATCCCAGTGCATTGCTATTATGCTTTATATTCTGACCATGTGTGATAGAATGGATAGTTACTCTATCACTGTTGAATTATTTGATCTTTTATCAGCGCAGTTTTTGTAGGAGGGCTTTTTTTTTTTTTTTTGCCCTTGGGCCGCCTCCTAATCAAGTTGCTCAATACATTTTACAGGTATTAATATGCCAAATCTTATAAAGCTATTATGAATATTATGCCTTACAATGTCGAGAAGCAAAAGGAGACAAAAACATGCTCAGCAAAAACTGGCCTTGAAGTTTTTACTGCAGCATCTCTCACCGTCATCTTCAGAAACTGTTTTTAAGAACGAAAAATGCATTTCGTTTTTGCATTACTGGAAGTTATTGCAATGAAATCTTCAAAGATTTTGCGGCTGGGTAGAAAAGTTTCAGACACACACATATATACACATAGATTAGTTTTTCAGACTGAAAGCTGCATCTGTGTTCTATTTTAAGAAATGAGAAAAATGAGGGCCAGAGAGATTAATTGCTCTGAATCACATTGCTAAGTGCTATGTGCTGTTTTACTGATGGTAATCAGTGCTATATTTTGAAATTTTTCAGTGGAGACATATATTATAGCTAACATTTCAATCTAGTCCTCTGAATTCTCAGCCTTGGTCATTTATGATGGATCTTCTTCCTTTTCGCTCCTTAAAACATGAAGTAAAATGTGAAACATTGAAAAATTTAATAATTTTGATATCTCAGTCAAGGATCTTATTCATCCTATATTTATGTAATCTAGACTTCTTTTACTGAAGCTAAGTAGTCTATGTCTGGTTAGGGCCTGGATGAGCATCTACATGGCAAGCCCATGCTTCATTTATTTCTGTAAGACGCCTGGAGTCACCATGAATGAAATGGGTGGCCATATAAATTGCTTAAATAAATAAAAGAAAAGAAATAAATGCTTCACGCTAAAATAGTCTTTGTGGCAGTGCTGCCACCTAAAATAACCTAATAATTACTTATTGTACCTATTTTCATAGAAATGTTCTAAATAACATAACCTTGATAATTTGTTTTCTGAGCATCTTATAGCTATGACTATCACATCCCAAGAATTTCACTGGGATTCAGGTGCAATTAACTTGCCCAGATCAGGGCCTATTTTTCCTCTGTCTGTTACATGATACTACTTAATGAACAGTTTTCATAGTATTTTCAGTATCATTATGAAAGGTTTGAAAGTTTTTCACTGATGTTGAAAAGAAAATACTTAAATAGAGTTTTTAATATTTAAAGAGAATAAGATATGCAAAAGATTGGATTTGAATTGTTTTATGCACAAAACTTCCTGTTTTTAGTGCAGAACTGCTGTTTGGAATGAGAAATGGGATGTTGAACATTTTTTTAAGTGTATCAAGGTTGAAACAGAGTGGTTTGTGTTCCGAACACAGCTGTTCTGAGCTCAGAATACATCAAAGAAATGCTCAAAGCAACTTGTTTCACATTCAGTACAGTTGTTTAATGCTGAGAACAAGAAATGTTTCACAAAGTTTCATACTTGGATCAACACATTTGCTGTTTTGCACACAACTAGATAGGAATGCTAGAAGATCAGTGAGAAATGTGTCTTGCTTCTTCAAATCTTTGAAGCCTACAGTGTGTATGTATGTTTAAAATAGACACATTAGAAAGGTAATTAATTTATTTGCAGCAAAATCTTATGCACATTACCACAAAAGTCTCTTTAATTCCATGAGGCTTATTTGACAGCAGTTATATATAAAACTATAGCCCTAATGTAGAAATTATACCTTTAATTTACATTCATTGCATATGAGAAAAACCAAACAATTAAAGAAAACAATTTTTTTTACATTTTTTAAATATGTGTGCATATCACAGGGATCATCTTAGAAATTATTTTTCTGGGGGGGTATTACTCTAAGATGGCACTTGCATCAATTGATGGGGACATCATTTTGGTTAGACAATAAACATAAAATTAGTTCATGGCTTCTTAAATATTTTACATTAGGATTTTGTAAATAAATGAAAATTCTTCATAATGGTATAGGACAGGGGTCCCCAACCCCCGGGCCGTGGACTGTACCGGTCTGTGGCCTGTTAGGAACTGGGCTGCACAGCAGGAGGTGAGTGGCGGGTGAGCGAGCAAAGCTTCATCTGTATTTACAGCCGTTCCCCATCGCTCGCGTTACTGCCTGAGCTCTGCCTCCTGTCAGATCAGCGGTGGCATTAGATTCTCATGGGACCGTGAACCCTACTGTGAACTGCGCATGCAAGGGATCTAGGTTGCGCGCTCCTTATGAGAATCTAATGCCTGATGATCTGAGGTGGAGCTGAGGCAGTGATGCGAGCACTGGGGAGCGGCTGCAAATATAGATTAGCAGAGAGGTTTGACTGCACAGAGACCAGAATAAATCAATTGCTTGCAGACTCATATCAAAACCCTATCAATGAGTGGCAAGTGATAATTAAGCTGCATCTGGTGGCAGGCTTTATAGTAGTGAATCATCCCGAAACCATCTCCTCCCCCCGATCTGTGGAAAAATTGTCTTCCATGAAACCGGTCCCTGGTGCCAAAAAGGTTGCAGACCGCTGGTATAGGAGATCAGCCTTTCCCATGTTTTTGAAGTAGAGACCCCCGAATTCTGAGCAGTATTGACTGGGGATTATTTATATAAGCAGATGTCACTACAACTGCTGTAGTTCTAGAGTAAACAATATAAGAAGTCACAGTTGTTATATAATAATCCCTTTCTGTAGCACAGTGGATTGGATTTCTTAAGTTTGAGTCTGAACCCAGGGAAGAGCATTTAATCATTAGAATTTTTAATTTTGAGGTTATTCAAGAATGTGGCAGTTCAAAGTCTGAGCTGAAATTTTCAGTGATATTTTGAGAATGGCTTTCCCTGTGATCTTAGCAGAATCATCCCAAAGCAAATGACCAGTGAACTGTCAATTTAGAGGACATAGTTTATTGGATACCTGTAAGTTTAATACAGGCTTCTGAAATAACACCAGATCCTAAGGACTTCTACCTATCATATTCAGCTACTTTCTCCTTAAGGGGGAAAAAAACAACAACTACAACATGAAATGCTTTGATAACATTCTCTCTATAGCTTCTAATTCCAACCATGAAATAATTGTGAATATCTGAGATGCCTAAAAGGAGGGTTTCATTAAAACCTCTGTTGCTCTTCACACTGGAATGGAAAGTTACAGTGCTTTTTATAAACCTGTAATGATCAAAGGTAGATTTTTTTCACAATTCCAAAATAAGTTGTTAACTCACTGAAATCTACTAGGTTTCTGCTAGTATTATTCTTTCCATGGAGAGCCACATGTTATCTAAGAGTGGCTTTAAGGATTCATTTAAGTAAAACTAGCTTTGATGTCTTCATGCTTCAAGATAATATAACTAGTAATTTAAAGACTCTCATATGAAAACCCTTAGTAATTTCAATCACAACTATTATGGGTGTGTTGGATTGAAATAGGTCCCTTTAACAGCAGTTTGGAAGTACTCCTGTTTAGAGTTCTTTCCTTTCCAGGCATTATATCAATTTGGATTCAGGGAGATTTGGTGGTAGTGGAATGAATGCTAGTGCCCATTTCCAGTAATGTTTAAATCTTGCATTTCTTGATTGATTCCTGATAGTTTGTTATTATAAACCAAGAAATGACATTCAAAACGTGAGACGGTTCTGGCCT